GATAACAAAGGAAAATTAGTATGTGGTGCTTAACAATCTTCTTTTGAAATGTTGCCTGAAAGTGTAAAAAATATTAGTCTGATAAATATATATATATACTAAAATGTTAACAAGGTTTCTTTTTCATAAACATGATCTATATTCAAGATTAAACTTAATTGTCAACTGTAAATATTTATTAACAGTGCTTTATTTATTGTAGTTATATCATCCCAGAATATTTTCTTTTCACGTGTTATAAAATGAGGAAGGAACACATACAACTAAGAAATATATCACTAAAGAAGTGATGTATTGACCATCTGAACAATAATTTTGTAGGTAAGTAACAAAGATATGCATCTTCTTATGTAAAAATATATGCACACAAATATTATATTTACTTTCAAACATTTGTTGGCAAATATCTTTTGCTCCATTTATTAAAACATTACTTACCTGCTTTTGAATATTCATTAGCTGCAGAATCATAGTCTGGTTTCCATTTGAAGAAAGATGTTTTCAAACTAGAAAACAAATACTTTTATTTCTTGATATATTAACTTGTACTGTATCTATATGTATAGTCATTTGTAATACTGCTTAAATTTACAAGGTGTTAAAAAAGCTAAAACACTTAATAAAAGTTATTCAGTACTGTGAGTTTTATATTCAAGAACAGCAGATAGTTAATCATTCTCATTAATGTTTAAAGTATCAAATAAAATGTCATATGACTAATTTTTCATAAATTGCTAAAACAAAAATAACATTTAAGGACAATAAGGGGCCTGTTGGTCTAATGAGGATATCCCATTTACTAAACTAAACTTTAAAAACAAAAACAACTCAAAGCCAGATGTTATCAGTTAAATATTTATCATGCCTTTCCTTAAACACTGTTAAATTTACTGCATCTACCACATCTGAAGACAACCTGTTCTAAAGGCCAACCATCCTGTTAGAAAAGTAAAAGTTTCCAAGCTGAAGATGAACTCCTGTCCTGTCAAAATTTACATTTGTGCCCCCTAGCCCCATCATTAAGTACAACAAATATGATGCATCAACACTTGATTCCCTTAACATCTAAAAAAACATCAATTAACTCTTCTTTTTTACAAGAGAAAACAATTTCAGGGATCATTAATTTGCCCACATATGACAATCTATTCACCCTAGTAGCTATCTTATAAACCCTTTCCAACAATTCAATGTCCTTCTTAAGGTAAGGAGGTCAAGATTAAACACAATAATGAGGTCTATCCAAGAACTAAGTAATAACATAACATAATATTTTGGGACAACATGGGATCTATTGGTCCATCTCAGCTGTTACATCCTCAAATCTAAATTAAAATGATTAAAAAAAAAGAAAAGCTAACCCCGGCCCTTTTCATTCATATACGTATCAAGCTTTTTCTTAAACTCACTTAAATTTACTGGCTCTACGACATCTGAAGGCAACCCATTCCAAATGTCAACCACACTGTTAGGAAAATGAAACTGTCTTAGTTGAAGATGACTCCTACCTTGCCAAAACTTATATTTGTGTTCCCTAGTCCTACTATTCTCACTGTTAAATGTGAAAAACGATGATGCATCAACACTGTCAATTCCCTTTACAATCTTAAACATCTCAATCAGATCCACCCTAACTCTTCTTTT